CCCCAAGTTAAAAAAAATAAAATAAAAAATAAAGCCCCCAAGTCGCGCGGCGGTTTTATAACTTTTCCCCAAAAGAAAGCCTAATAAAAAAAAACACCAATAAAATGAAATACAGTAAATGTTTCCAAAGAAAAAAAAAAACAAAAAAAAACAGTAAATGGTTCCTATGAACGAAATTCTGCTACGAGAGCGAAAAACGTTCGACTTTTTTAAAACCACAGTCTCCTCCTTTCGTCTTAGCGAGCGAGCGACAAAATTCTCCTTGGCTGTCCAGCAAAGTGTCCTTCCTAAGGAGACGCTGATCGACCACGTGGGTTCACGTCCAATCCCCTCGCCTACCCCGGCCACGCCGTCGCCATGGATTCTTCGAGGCTCGGCCAGCACACGGGATTATTTGCTCAGTAACGTCCCGACAAAAAATTGCTAACGTGACAAATATAAAAAAAGAGAGAGCTACGTAAGCAGATCGAGTTGTTCGTCGACCAAGGCAACAATTCCTGTCCTGCTATCACCTTCTTTGCCCTCCACAGATTTTTWTTTTTTTATTTTTTTTTTCTCCACAGMTTTYTGTCCGAGGATATCCTACGAGTATATTCCCTACAATTTCAACTTCTGCTATCACGAAATTATTAACACCTCAATCAATCAATCTACTCCAGAAAAAGGGTATAAATATTGTGGACAGTGGCTGARATGATTACCTGAGCAGTGRGGTAGAAGGGTGATCSCGACGTTGTCGCATTCCATGGACGAGACGTGTATACTGCGAAAGTAAAGCCTCGCACGTTTTGTCTGATATTTGCATGTGTCTCTCTCTCTCTCTCTCTCTCTCTCTCCCTCTCTCTCTCTCTCTCTCTCTCTCTCTCTCTCTCTCTCTCTCTCTCTCCCCCGGGCGCAATAGAACCTCCAGGCAGGCACTGTTTAACAAACGCGTCCGTTATCTTCCGTTATACTATTAATTAATAGTCGTAATTAGTAATTAGTCCCCAATGCTCTCTATTTCCTCTTCCAATCAGCCATCACAACTCCTTATGCTACCAATGCGCTCTCCCCCCGTTTGCCCACAGATTTCAGCATCTCCGCTGCAGTCCCCTCTCCATCCGCTGAAGAGGCATCTGTCCATGTGGTCTGCGCACGACGCTCATACCCTCCTTATATTGACATGAGCTTCTATCAACAGATCCGCAAGCCTCTCCGCTAGCTCGGTCATCGTTGGCCTCGCAGCAGGCTCCATCATCAAGCAGCCGCTCGCTAAACGCAGTGCCTCCATCGTCATCTGCTGGAATGGGCGCCCCGCCACCTCGGCACGCAAGCGAGAGTCCAGAATTGCATGCGGCATCCCTCCACCAGCAATAWWKTCGCTTCGAAAGAACGGYCTTGCCCAGTCCGCTAGCGTCTGCCACGACCCGTTACCGGACGGCGAGTCCGTGGCCGCCTTTCGCCCCGTAAGCAGCTCCATAAGGATCACGCCAAAAGCGTACACGTCGATCTTCTCYGACAGAGTTCCGCTCATCACGTACTCCGGCGCCATGTACCCGAAAGTCCCGCCCACGTGCGAGGTCTTCACCGCGGTGTCCCGTGTTGTCCCGCCAAACACTCTTTCTCCGATGGTCGCTAGTCCGAAATCCGCGAGCACGACGCGCAGCTTCTCCCCAGCGCCATCACCAAGAAGGACGTTGCTGCTCTTGATGTCGCGGTGAATGACTGGCGGGTCCGCTCCCCCGTGAAGGTAACTGAGACCCCTGGCAATCTGCCAGGCGATGCACATCCGCTCAACGAGCGTCAGAGGAGGAAGACGAGGTCTGCCAGGAACTGCCTTCTCTCTGTGGTGCAGGCGAGCGTACAGACTTCCCCCCGGGAAATACGGGTACACCAAGATCGACCGACTCCCCTCGTCACAGAATCCCACCAGTCCGATAAGGTTGGCATGATGGAGTCTGCTCAACGTGTTCACTTCTGCCAGGAACATGCTTCTCTTCCCCTCCGTCAGATCCCCCGTCATCACCTTGATGGCCAAATCCTGATCGTCCATCGAGCCCCAGTACACATCTCCGAACGCTCCACTGTCCCCGATACGGTAGTTCTTGCTGAAATTTTCTGTGCAATGCTGCAGAGCTGCCAGCGAGAATCGTCTGACTTGCAAGGGGTGAAGTCCCCCACCTCCTCCCCCGCTCTCGTGGCGCCCACACCCCTCCGTTGTGAAGTTGCTGCTCCGTCCAATCTCGACGGTTCTGCTCCCTGTTGTATTTGGCCCAGGTTTAGCCTGCCCCTGTTTCCCTCCATTCCGGCGCGCTCTGTACACAAGGACACTAAGGCACGTGGCAAGCGCCAGGAAGACTGAGATCAACACGGGCAGCCCGACCGCAAGACCTAAATTAGTTCTTCGGGAGCTGGGGGGAAGCGGCGAAGATCGTGAAGGCGACGGGCCAGAAGTGGGAGGAGGCGCGCAAGAGTGAAGCTGCGAATTGCTGATTCTCAGCTCGAACACGGAACCATCGTTTGCTCCGACGTACAGACTTAGTTCGCTGCCGGACTGCCGAAGCGCCAATCCCCACAACCCGCCGGCACTGTATCTGGCGACCTGCTGTACACTGGTCGCCGAGCTGCAGGGCGCGTCCAGCTTCAGCCACCGAAGTAAACCGCTCCCCTGCTCGGTAACGAAGACGTTACATCCGTCCGGTGTCGCTACTGCGTTCGCCGCGATATCGAACTGAGATTTGGGACCATCGCCATCGACGGACCCGCTCTGGCCCGAGCCGGCCACAAGAGTGGCCGTCGGGGAGGGAGAGCGAGGATCTATTGCCCAAACCCGGTTATAACCCCAATCGGCGAAATAAAGGCAGCTCTCGTCCGGCAGAAAGCTACTTGAGTCGAATCCAACGAATGAAATGTTGGGATCRCCGGTGGAGAAATTACAGACTTCGTTCAATTTCRGGCCGGCGTCCAGTCTCCCGGACTCTGCGACCGCCATCGACAAAATCCGAACGGGTCGGGCGATGTCCGAGATGAACAGTTCCGTCTTGTTCGGATTGAATGCCACGCTCCATACGGCGTCCGCATTTATGGCCACGCTCGTTCGATTGCCAGCCGCCGTGGATAGCCAGACGACACTCGACTGAGTCCCACTACTCGGAGTTGCCACTGTGACCAGCTGGTCTCCTTCTCTGTTCACGTCGAGACCAAACACCAGCGCCATTGATATGTTGTCAKTGACATTCTTCCTCCACACAAAGTCAGATGTTTCACTCAGCCCGTTCCCTGCGCCATAGCGCCACCAATAGCTGAGTACCGAGCTATTCTTGAAACCTTGGCGCGCCCGCGCAAGATCGGCTTTTCGGATCGAAAACCGCCGACTTAGAACTTCATCTTCTTTTGTACTTATACAGAACTCGTCAAGAATGAAGTACATCTGGGTATCATCGCTAGGATGAAACGTTAAGTCGCGAATGATAGMTCYGCACGCCCACCCAGACGCCGTCGGCTGAAAGTCTTGAGAAGGGGTATGAACGACAATGGGAGGCACTACGCTCTGGTTGCCTGTGACGAAGAGCTGGGGCTGCAGAAGCGTCATGCTCCCTTCCGGCTCAAACACTGGTGGCGAGGAAGGCGGCGCGGTGGACACCATCGCCATACTGCGCMTGACCTGCTGGGCGAGGAGACGTGCTCGGCTGTCTCCCGGCTCTGCAGCATTGGCAGCCGAAGACCATTGGCCGAGGACCGGTCGCTCGACAGCGGCGCCATTTACCCGCTTAGAAATTGTGGCAAGCAGCAGAACACTAGCAAGGGATTGGAGTAGGAAACAGCSAGAGAGGGAGGCCATGCGAWAGCTTTGGCTGCCAGTCGAACGGGCACAATGAGCGTGCCATAGATAATCTAACACTGGCCATGGATGCTCAGCCATCYTCTTCGTCCGAGTCGCGCGCGCCCGCGCCCACACGGGCTCGGTAAAGTGGCTTGATTATCAGACCGGAAGAAACCGCTCGAAGAAAGACGCAACAACGCCAGARCAACGGGAYTGGACTCGAGYAYGCGAAAAGCAAGCGCAGAGAAAATAACACMACGATATCAGGGTCGCCGGGAATCTCCTTTCGCTTGGAACAAATGGGCCCCGCTGCACTACKCTAGACACAYGAAAAATTTAGGGCGTCGCCGCAGGGCACACAAAACGAAAAAAGAAACGAGTGAATCTTACAGCAGAAAATGGCCAGGTTCGTCCATTTGCTATGAATAGTAACGAGTGTATGTTGCCACCTTCTGTGGGCAGATGCACTGGTTTCGTTTTCGTTTCGTGCGCCGTGGGGCGAGGCCCTAAGGGTCGGACCCAACTGCTCGGCTTCCTKGAAATTTCCTGGAAAGAGGGGAAGTTGCTATTACAGGGCAAGTTGGGAGGTTGGATGATGCATGGAGTGATCTCAGTCATGTTCAAGAAGGGAGACAAGTAGAACATGAGAAATTACATACCAATCTCGATTTTGAACGTGAGCTACAAGCTGCTAGCCAAGACTCTGGCGGCCAAGACTCTGGCGGTGAGATTGGGGAAGATACCAGGGGGCTGTTCAGGGGCGGTCAATTTTCATCAATATCCGGACACCTATTAAGAGCATTGAAATTATCCAGGCGGAACAGGTGGACATGGCGGTCTTACTCCTAGATATGGAGAAGGCCTGTGATAGGGTGGGTTGGTCCTTCGTGTTAACCACGCTAAGGAGGATGGGGATCGGACCGGTTATGGCCATGTACACGCTGGCAACATCGGCAGTGCAGGTGAATGGACATTTATCCAGCCCCTTTCAGTTCTCGCGGTCTCTCTGCCAAGGTTGTCCTCTGGCTCCATTGCTGTTTGTGCTGCAATTGGAAGTGTCACTCAACAGATTCCGGAAGCACCCCTTCATAAGAGGGTTACCAGTGGCTTAGGACAGAGAGTGCAGGGCTAAGGCCCTGGCAGATGATCTGTTCCTAATCTCAGCTAACACAGCAGAGTCTATGGGGGCGGTGAAATCTTTTTTTTTTTTTTTTTTTTTTTTTTTTGGGGCCCTTGTGCAAGACCTCTATGCTGGTGGTGGTACGAGAACCACCAGGATTGAGGCTTTGCCTAGCGGGCCGCTCCATCTATTGGTGGGGAGCAACACCTGCTGRAAACYGGGTCCAGCGTCCCAAAAATACATCTTTGTCACACAGTACATCAATGAGAGTGACGCCACGGTSCTGGAAACCGGGTCCAGCATCCCATCTCCACTCTATTCTTCCATACCTGAACTGCAGCAGGGTCGGGTCGTGGGGGGGGCCACCGGGGGGCACCGGTGGAGTCCCCCTCCATCCCCTAGCCTCTGCCATCCACCCACTATCCTCATGGCGCTCATTGACGCAATAGAAAACCAGGCTGCAGTGAAATAGGCTGAGATTAGCTGAAATCCTTTTAAGAGATACGGAGATATTGAAGCAATAGAAAACCAGGCTACAGTGAAAAAGGCTGAAATTAGCTGGAATCCTTTTGAGAGATACAGAGATACAGAAGAATACTGAAGAATACTGAGTATTCCTGAGAATTGTGTGGGAGGCCTCACCTGCTGGGAACTGGGCCCAGCGTCCCTTTTTTTCTGGTGGGCCGCTCCATCTATTAGTGGGGAGCGACACCTGCTGGAAACCGGGTCCAGCGTCCCGTAAGCACATCCTTATAAGCAGTACATTTTAAAAGTGGCGCCTTTGCGCTGGAAACTGGGTCCAGCCTCCCATCCAATCCACTATACCGTACCCCAGCCCCTGCCATCCACCTTCTGGCGCCTTTTTATTTTGACGCTATCAGAACATTGCTAGTGCTGGAAACCGGGTCCAGCGTCCCATATTTGAGCTGTTCATCCAACCAATCTGGCGCCTCTCTATATTTGGAACTATCAGAAGGCTGAGGCAGGCAGTATATTGTCAATGCTGGAACCCGGGTCCAGCGTCCCATATCAGTGCTGTTCATCCGACCAATCCTGCAGTGCATCCATCTGCCGCGGTCCCAGTCCTGCAGTGTATCCGTCTGCCGCTGTCCCTCTACCAACCATTGGACTGGGCTTGTATTGGGCGGGACAGAATAGACTCAGGTGCACAAGGAACAGAAGGAGGCAGAGGTCGGAAGAGAGCAGAAGGGGGCAGGAGTAGGGGACCACAGAAGAAGAGGGCAGGATAAAGTAGCCAGAAGGTAGACCGAAAAATCAGAACGAAGATCACTGGGCCAGGCCGGATCCACCGAACTGGGCTACTGTAAGCATGGGGGGAGGACCTCTTCCAGTGCCAGTGGGTGGGGGGGAAAAGGGGACTGCAAATTCTTGAGCCGGGTGTAACCTCTCGCCGGGGTCGAGGCTTGTCCACTCATGGAAGATCAGCTGATAGTCTCTTGCTATCTCCGTTCCGTGTCCTTCTTGCAGCTCTCCTCCCTGCTGGCAATTCTCAGACCAGCTTAMCTCCGCCACCCATCSTTTTCTTTCCCCTCCCAACCAATTCTGACTGAATCGGGAGATGATCCTGTTGATGTMAGCCCAGGAATTCATTTGGTCAAGTTTGTCTCTGGCCGCCTTCCACWGGGCAGCAATTTCATGTTGGACTAATAGGCGTAACTGTTCTGTGACTTCTCCTTCTTCAACCCGTGCCCTTTCCATTTCCAAAATGCAACGTTTCCACCAGATGACCCATAGGACCGCCCGCCTGCCCAATTGAAACATGTTCTCCTTGAATGTGTCTCCCCGAATCGGGCCCGAATCGGACCCGAATCGGGGGGTAATGACCTAGTAATATAGCCCTCCACTCCCATGGCCATTCTGCACCGGGGACAATGTGTCGCCGAATCCTGTCCCAAACTCTCCAGAGCAAAACCAAAGTCGGGCATTGGAGGAAGATGTGTTCAATTGTTTCGGCCTTTTTCCTCCCCGGGTAACCCAAGAGACAACTATGGCACCAGGGTAATGMCCGGCCTTGCTGCTCCAACCGGGTGTGATCTATCAACCAGTTGTTTGTTGGCAGACATCGGTRTGYTATTTGCCACTGAAGGGCCGAGATCTTAGCGGGTCTATTCCTAAGTTGGGTGAACCAACGGATCGGCTTGAGCAAGTCTCGGTCCATGTTGAGATGTCGGTGYYACCTGTCCTCAACCGTCTCCCGCAGTCTTCRTTTGGGACGGAGCATACGATAGGCTGATTTRGTTTTTAGATTGTAAAGTGTTAGCTGTTTTGTYGGCCCTTGTCTAGTCGTGGCTCCCSGGGACCAATGCCACTCGTCGGGGTCGAAGGGGAGATCCTCAATCGGGGTTGTTGGGYGGTAAGCACATTGTCCTCTGCCATTGTCYAGAACTCTGATGCGATATATGTTCRTTCTGTCCTTCCAGATAAAGGGGTCTGCCCCGAAGAGTGTCATCCTTTTGGACAGAGAAAATCTCAATTAGGGCATGTGTTGGGTCTACAATGTGTACTTGTYCTATCTCCTCCTGGTGATCRGGMAGGCAAACCCWGTCTCCTTCTCTCAATTGAGTCCCTTTCCGAAGGATGCTATACCATTGGAGAGGGAAACTTTCGATGARWTCGTTTAGTGCCGATTCCGTGAGATGGCAGTAGCGTAGCYATGCCCKCATCCTTTCTGTACTCTTCCAACATCTTGCCTCTTTATCCCACAGATCCCCTACCCTGCTAGCACCATGTTTAACCCAACCTCTCCAGGGGGCATCTGAGCTGCATCTTACCTGGCCCAAGGCATCCGTAATCAATCGATTCCCAAACAACGATTGTCTGAAGATTTCTTCCCATCGGTCCAGGTTGGGTCGGTCGGGCGGCGGGAGCTTCCTCCATGTGCGAAGTAATCGCAGCCAACGTGTGCTCGCGGGGTTCCCATTATTATCTTTCCTTGGAAGCCTCCAGTATCTTTCTTGTAGCCATACCAGGGGGTCAGTCTCCGGGGGGGGCTCCGGTGCTAGGGCAGCAATTTGCGCCCTAGCCAGGGGGGGCCAGGGGGAGGACGGAGAGAAGATAATGTGCTGAAGCCAGCGAAGCGTAAGGGTCAGGGATTGAGTGGCCGGGTCCACAATTCCTAGTCCTCCTCTCGTCTTGGGCTGGATCATTGAGTCCCAAGCTACTCGACTAATTGCGTGGGGGGTATTACTGTCCGCTCTCCAAATAAAAGTTGCTAGTTGCTGTCTGAGTGACCTAAGCCCCCCGTTGCTCATAAGCCATATAATCCATTTGTACCAGAGTGTAGTCAAAATCACATTATTGATGACCAGGGTCCGCCCCAATAGCGATGTGTGTTTTTTATTCCATTGTTTTAGTTTGGCGTGCGCTGGTCCTGTCAGCCAGTCATCGTTGGTCGCCGACTTCCCTTTTGCTGTGATGAGGGCTCCAAAGACTCTCAAATAATCTTTTCGGGGGAGCCATGTAATTCGCGGGTATTTAGGAGGCCTTCCTCCTTGCTGGTGCATCCACCATCCTACCGTCTTCTGCCCCCAATTTACTGCCATATCAGAGAGCCGACATAACCGGTTCATGAGGATTTGGATTTCTTCCATGTTACGATCTGTCGCTTCCAGCATTATGGTAAGGTCATCAACAAACAGTGAGTAGATCGGTACTGCCTCCTCCGGGATGTTCGTGATCTTAATGCGAGAGAGGTTCTTATTATGCGTGAGGTTGGCCGAGAGTGCTTCCATTATCACCAAGAAAAGATAGGGTGCAATGGGATCCCCTTGTCTTACAAACCTTTGAAGCTTAAAGGGGGGCGCTATCGACCCATTGACCTGAACACAAGTGGTGGCGTTATGATGAAGGATCATAATCCAACGTCAAAAGACTGGTCCAAAGTTTATTTTTTCCAAGCATTTGTCCAGAAACTCCCAGTCAACGTGGTCGTATGCTTTTTCAAAGTCAATGAATATTATGGTCGCGTTGGTTTTATTCCGTTGGGCTAGTTCGACCACCTCATTAACTAGTAAGATATTTTCTTGTATATTCCTTCCGGTCATGAACCCTGTCTGA